ATCTTTGCAGTGTTTGGGACTTCCTTTCATCAAAGGAAATGAAAATCTATCCTGCCCAGTGGTATTTTTGGGTGGAACTGACACCTAACCATGGTACAAGCAGAGATAATGGTTCTTTCCACCAAACCCTCTGTAATTTTTTATTAACTTTCATCTTCTTCTAAGCTTCTAAGTCTCCTGAATGCCCAGCAATTCCTATTAACACAGTACAAAAAAAAAAAAAAAAAGGCACTAGCTTATTAACAGGAATAATAATCAGATGAGGCTTAAGTATTACAAAGAACACTGTGTTATGTCATATCATATATTTTAATTTCTTAGAGACAAAGTTTACATTCCTCAATGGTCTCCTTTTTTTATTCCAGATCTGTAATTACATTCACTGAAGTAGTTTAGTACTAGGCACAGCAGGTCTTTCAGAATTAGGGACTTCCAGCTGTAATTATCACTACAGGAGAAATTATCATTACAGGAGATTTCTTTAAGTGAGGAAAAAAAACATAACTTTTCTTATGCCTTACATAGGATATAGGGGTTTGATTTAACCATAAACTAAAATAAAACTCAAACATATTTTTCAAACCTAATTCATGATGCATAATGTTTAAACTAGCACTATGTCATAGCACAACTTTTTCTGCTGCTGATGTGTAAGAAATTTTGGCATAAAACTGAACTTATAAGTGCAACCTCAAAGTTTAAATATTTTGAGGACCAAATTCTCTTCTCTGATATGTTATTCTAAATCTGAGGTAGATATGCTCAGGAGGCTAATTTGAACATACTCTTAAACTCAGAGCAATATTTGTCTTCATTCCTTCATGCTTGACAAATGACTACTCAAAATGTTTTAAAATGTCTTGTTGGTCTCCCAGGACAAAAGCGAAATTTCAGCCCCCTAACGCTTGTAAGTTCAGATAGCTCCTTTCTCCACTGTGGTGGGCAATATGTAAGGAAAGAATAGTCAAAGCAGATGTTTTTATTTCTCAAGATTCTTTAAATCTAATTATGTGGAAGCTATTCTGGTTTTGAAGAAAGTGTTTGGAAAAATCTAACAAAGAAAATCGAAGAACAATGACAAACTATTCTAGTTCCCTTGACGTGACATCCAAAAATAACCTGAAGCTGAATCTTCTCTTTGTGAAAATACATGCTTTCTTCATACAAAAAGCTGACCACAGTTATGCATCAGAAGTAGGGGATAGTTATAAAAAAGATTACCAATTGAAGAGCTTTCATCACTAAGATTAAAAAACTTTAAGACACTTCTTAGTGAAAAATATAAAATCACACTCAAGCATAAAAACTTCATGGAAATCAGGCAAGTAAAGGATGTTATGACAGAAATTTTAATCCTACTAGATATAATAACTCTAAGGAACAACTTGTATTTTTAGTGACATCCTACCAGGAGTCCTAGAAAATACGAAGCTTGCTTTTTGGGTAGTTGGAATTTCTTCTAAAGGTACTGTTCAGAGTAAGTGCTCATTCTCATTAATCAGGTCACCAAGAAAAACAGGGACAGATCTGTGTGAGATAAGACTTTTGAACATGTAGGGATAAAAGAGATAAGAAGTTAAGACAGCTAAAGTGTTGGTGAAACTGGTATTTCTATTGCATTTGTAAGTGTCCTGGGTCATACAGGAACCATGACACAAATTTTCTAATGGTTAAGAAGCACATGACATACAACCCTGATTATTAAGGGGCAAGAAAGACCTGAAGAGTCCTTTCCAGGCAGCTCACAGCATCACACTGTCCCACACAGCTGAGCAGGTTTGAGTGTCCACTCTATTTCAGGCTTGCCCCTTTGCTCTGTGACAAAATCACAGGAAGCAGAGCACAACTCTTATTCCCATGGCATAGCTCTGGCCTGGGAGCTGTCCATGAACCACCTGCAAGCCACATCCAGATGGGATATCACAGAACAAAACCACTCTTGCTTTTATATCCCCTTTATGCATCTGAACTGAGTGGTACACATACAATGTCTGACAGGTAAGGGTTTCACTCTTCTTTTTCCTGCCTCATCAAGGTGCCCTGTGGATGCTGTGCTTTTCCATTACTGCCTCAGCTAAATGAGCAGGAGCCCATCAATCTAAGGAGGAGGTCCTATCCTCTCTCAAAGCTCACCCCTGGACATGTGCTGTAGCCACTTGCCCTGTGCTGCCCCTAGAATTCACCCAGTGGTACTCCAGGTCAGCTTTCTCACAATACAAATAGTTAACCAAGCCCCTAAATGAAATAAAAGAAAGGTGAGTGTGGAGGTGCAGCTCAGTGAGAGGCTAGACTAAAGCTGGAGAGAGTCCTGAGAGTGAGGGAATGAGATAACAGGGGAGGAAGCACATTTCAGTCCTCCTGCTATTCAACTCATTGATAATACAGAGTAGCATCCTCAGAAAAAAAAAAAAAAAAAAAAAAAAGAAAACACACAGAAATCATTTGTCTTGCATTCTCTATTCTGTATACAGCACTATTCCAGATGCTTTTTGTTTCAAACAAAAGTAATTAGCTGCTCAATTGCCTTTTAAATCAGACACTTGGGTTTGATTTTCAGCAGCTACAGACAATCAAAGTACATAACTCCAGTTTCAAATGCTTGGCTGAATACTCAACTGAATGCAACAACTTTCCTGTCTGAGGGGAAGATAAGCCTTCTGTTCAGCTGATGATCAGGTACTACCAGCTGGAATAAAAAGCTGCCATTAATGTGTTGGTGACAGGAGTTATAAAAATGAGTTAATTACTTGTAAGAAAAGCTTTGTCACAGTCCTCTATCCCAAAAAACAAGTACACACCATCATGACAGGTACTAATTTGTATCCTTGGTATTGGTAACAAAAAATGAGGTGAATATAAAAATGGGACTATTATTTAAACTGTAGAATGCTCTTTCTAGGCTAGAGAGACAGCTACCTTTGTGGCTGCCCCTAGGACACTGTACCTATGTCAGGGACAACTGGAGAATTTCTCTAAGAATGTTCATCTGTTCCTTTTGTGTACAACATAGTTACTAAAAGTAATAACTAACAGAAAACACCATCTTACTGTGTATAATACTGATGTGTTTAAGAAAATTCCCCTTCACAGTTATATAAATATTATGAAATATTTCTACTTTCTATAGATAAATAGAATTATTTCGTTAAGACCAAATATCTCAAATGGGAGAGACTTGTTCAAAACGGAATGTTTTTCTTAAACCACCTGATAATAGTAATTCTTGCAATAATTACGGCAAAATATAAACCTGAGACTAATTCTCAGGTTTATACTACTCTATCTTTCGTTCTCTTGAAAAGAAGAATGTAAGACTTCATGTACTCTGCTTTGAAAAAACATTTTACTTTCTTTTTCTTGGGCTGTGGTCTTGTCCACAGCACATAAACAGATATGGCCACAGTAAATAAACAGATATGACCAGTCATGCTGATAACCTGCAGCATCTTCTCCAGTCAGCACACAAATCCGTGGCAATCTGGTTTGGGCTGCCTTTCCATAACTACCAGAGACCTTATATCTGAAAAAGCAAGAATATCTGGAAGCTCACTGGGACATTACAACCCCTTACAGACGGGGTATTGAACCCCAGGTTCAATACCTGGAGTAGACCAGGCTAAGAAGCTTCCATGGCCAGAGCATTGTTTACTTTTTGATGGATAAATTTTAGCCCAGTTCCCTTAGAATGTGCAGCAATCTCCCTGAGCAAGTGTGCCCTACCAATCAGTTATTCGCCTATTAACTTCTCAATCTGTCACCCAACTTCAATTTTTTCGAAAATGGAGCTTAATTTCCTTTAAAACGGGCTACTGAACAGAAAAGAGTAAGTCTACCAGTGAGACTTGAGGAGGGCTGCATCTCAGCTTCACCCATTACCAGCCATCAGCCACAAGGGCGCTCTCCAGGGACACAAATCCCTAAGAACCTGAACTTCCTTGGGTTTCCTCAGTTTGGCTTCTCTCCAGCAAGCTCTGTGGCAGGCAACAAGAGAAAAATATTAGTGGGCCACAGCCAGGGACAGTCACTAGACTCTCCTTTTTTGTGGCACTGCACCATCCTAACTCACACAAACTCCTCAGGCAGCTCCACTCCAGGAGGAAATGCTTTTGCACGGCTCTGCATCAAGCCTAGCAGTGTCAGTCTCCTGGGCAAGGACAGTGGGACTATCACCAGCCAGCTGTGCTTGGCCCTGAGCTGTTGAGTATCACCAGGCAGCTGTGCTTGGTCCTGAGCTGTTGAGTATCACCAGCCAGCTGTGCTTGGCCCTGAGCTGTGTGTCACCAGCCAGCTGTGCTTGGCCCTGAGCTGTGTGAGTGTCACCAGGCAGCTGTGCTTGGTCCTGAACTGTCCCTGCTGTCCCTGCCAGGCCTGGCCCATGCCAGTGCTCCCTGCCCGTCTGAGCATCCTCCAAAAGGTGAGATAAGCCCCATGCCCAACTCTGTCTGGATCTTTTGCACCTGTCCTGAGAAACTAGAGAAGTGCATCACATGGGAACTAGCAAAGTTGGAGAGGAAGTTTGAAGGAGTACATCCAGAGAGCTGTCGCTCAGATTGGTCATTTATTCTCTTTATGCCTGTCAGAGCAACTCTCCTAAGACTGGGGAGAAACAGGGCACCCCCAGTGCTGCGCTGCAGTATAGGGAAGTTGGAAGCCTTGCTCTGAGGGGCTGTAGATCAGTGGTGGTCGCAGCTGACTCCCCGGCCGAAGGTGCCGAAGCCCCGGTGACCCTGTCCTCCCTTCGGTCTCGGATCCCCCACAGCTCCAGCCGGGGAGCGGGGCTGGGCTGTGCTGCCCTCAGCGGTGCTCGAGCTCAGCAGAGGCAGAGCCCCCGCCGTGGCTGCCCCGGCGAGTGGGAGAGCATCCCCGACCCGCTTTCCTCCCGCTCCCTCCGTCCCTCCCGCAGCGGGGTGCTCCGGCAAAGGAGCCGTCGGGCTCGGCCGCCGGAGGCAGCGGCAGGGACGGGATCCGAGGGGGCTGCCTCCCAGGCTCCTGTCTCTTACCTCCGTGCCGGGCGGCGGCGAAGAGCCGCGGGGGCGGCGGGGCGGCGGCGGCGGCGGCGCGGGGGTCTGTCGGAGGGGCACCGCCGCCGCTGTAGCGCCGGGAGATCACCCGCTCCCTCCGCGGCGGGCGGGGCGGCAGCGGGCGGCCGTCGTCGCCCAGGGCTTGCAGGAGGACGTCGAGGAGCGCCCCCCGCTCGGCTCCGGCGGCGGGCACGTCCCTGCCCTCGGCGCCCGGCGGCGGCGGGGCCGAGGCCAGCAGCAGGAGCACGATGGCGGGCAGCGCCTGCCGCTTCTTCGCCCCTCGCATCTCTGCGGCGCTGGGAGGAGGCAGAGAGCGAAGGCGGTCAGCGCCGGGCCCGGCCCGCACCCCACCCGCCCGCCCCCCATGCCGCGCCCGGGGCACCCCCGCCCGCCGCTCCGCACGCCGGGGCCGGGCAGAGGGGGCGCGGAGCGGGGACACCGAGGGGCCGCCACCCGCCGGCCCCGCCAGCCCCGTGCGGTGCCGCTCGCCCGGCTCCGCGGAGGCTGCGTTTAATAGACACGGATTAGGGAAGGGTTTTGAGCGCGCCGCACATGTTCGCGGTACGGGGTTTGGCGGGGTATTTGCTCGGCTCCCTTTGGCCCCGGAGTCCCCGCGCCCGCGGGTTCTGCGGGTTCTGCCGGCGGAGCCCCCGCGATGGGCCAGCCTTGTCCACTGCCACACCGGGGGCTCGGGGAGCGAGCACGGACGGCAGTCGGATGGAGTTCACTGAGGGGCAGGTTACACTGGAAGTGCCGCACATCAGGGTAGAAAGGGGGAAAACAATTACCACAGGCTGCGGCTTCGAGAGCAGCACTTAATGCCCTAGGTAAGCTATTCTAATTATAGGGAACGGGCAGGATTAAGAGGGAGGGAGGGAAATTCTGTTATTTACAAACTGTTTTCTAGCTGGCCTGCCTTGCAAATCCTCTTGGGCGAAGGAGTTAATCGGAGCCTCAAGGGAGCCGGCTTTCCCCGACGGCTTCGGGCTCTCCCTCCCTCCCTCCCTGCCGTGCCGGGGCGCACGGCAAACCCGGGAGTAACCGGGGAGCGACCCGCGGTTCGCTGTCGGGGCAGCGGCACCTCCTCGTTCCACGCCGAGGTGCCTTCTTTAGAGCCGGCTGGCGGCCGCTTACCTTCAGGCAGAGGCGAGTGCGGCCGGGTGCGTGCGGGCTGCCGAGCGAGCCCCGGTGCCGCCGTGGCAGAGCCCGTGTCCCCGCGGAGGCTCCGCTGGGCGCGGAGTGGGGCGCTCGGTGCTGCGCCCGGAGATGGGGGATGCGCCCTTCAGGGCCATGCGCTTCTCTTATATAGTCCACACCGGCGTACTCATCTGAGTACTATCGACTTTAGGTGGGTGGCAGTCGATGGAGACACCTCTGGTAATCACTCTTGGGCTCAGAGAGGGTCTTTTCTGACAGACTTCCTCCTCCCCGTTTGTCCCCCGGTGGATGGCAACTGAAAGCTGCGTTTGAAGTGACTGTGATCTATTTGTGAAATTAGATTTCCCTGAAGATTGGGGAACGCTTACTAATAAAGCTGCCGGCTCAAGAGATTAAAATGTGCTTTAACTTAGCGGGATTCCCTTGGGAGTACAACAAGGAAACTATTTAATTCCCCCCTTTTTTTATTGAGCAAGAAGCCGTGAGCAAAGTCTGAAGTGTGTATAAATTTGGTTCTGTTTTGATGTCAAGGAAAGTGGTAGTCTGTCTCTGGCAGGTGAATTCACAAACTATGAACCTCGTAAAAGTTTGCTTCTTCAAAACAGCTTTTTTAATTTTTGACAATGACACTTAATGAAAAGTTCACAAAAAAGGTAGTGACCCCAATAAACCATTAAACCCACAGGTTTAAAAACTTGCCTCCTAAAGCCCTAAATAGATCTGCCAAAAATTAATAAATAAAATCTCAACTTTTAGAGAGCAGTTGTATCCAGGTGATCTTGACAGATTGAAAAGCAATACACATTTTTCAAATTATACCAGACAATATTTTATTTTGGTATTTTTGTTGCAAGTATAACTCTTTGTCAGAAGTTACCACTTAGATATTTACTTAATAAGAGTGGAACAAAAAGAAAAAAAGATTTGAGATGTCCTGTAAGATGTGAAAATAAGGAATTTAGATTTGAAGGAGATTTAAACTATTCTGAATCTGCCTGGCACACATTTCCCCATGAACTTTGTCTCTTTCCCCAAGCTCCTTCATTCATACCCTTCTCTGGTTGTCTCAGGCAGCACACACTCTGGGCTGTATCTCACAGGGTCTGTGTCATTGCTGGTGATGGGAACCAGCTTCTTCCCCACATCTTCCTCTGCTTGGGCCATCCTCACTCACCTTTGGGGGTGTGATCCCACAAAGATTGGAGATCAAACAATGTTTAACTAATAAAGGCTTACAAAGGGTTTTATCACACTACATTTTTTTTAGAGGTCAGTGTACTGCACAAGATACACTGGTCTGACCTGTGGATTTCCAGAATAACTGAAGCAAGGTGCCATTCTCTTTCCTCCTAGGTGATTTCCTGCTTTTGCATCTTTATTGGGTGCATATAAGGAGTTTACTTTTGTCAAGCTGATGATTAAGTTCAGTGAAGAGGGAAAGGGGAGCACTAATCAGCTGAAAAATAAAGCACCATATTAATTAACCAGCTGCAAAATAAATCCAAAATTTTCTCTCCGTTTGCTCATTTGTTTCTATTATTTTATTATTCTTTTATTTTGCCCTCAGAGACATATATTGACACCACAGAATGGGACTGAATTTTTCTATGGAAACTACCAAAGTATTGCCTTCACTGGAGCTCCTCTGCTCAACTTCATTACTAGTCATGGACTAGGTTTACATCTTCTAGCCCTGGAAGCAGGTCACATGGGAAGGAAATCCATGTGGCACTGCTAAGACAGAATATTTTTGCTGTTCATAAAAACCTCAAAGTCTTTATTGGATGTCTGTTTGTGGCAGATGGCAGAATACTCATAAGGATTAAAAGCAGTGTTGTAAAAGGCAAGCAAATAGTCCCTTTATTCTCACCCACATCCCCAGAGAAGATCTAGGGAGTCTGCAGACTAGCATGGCTGACTATCTAATGTTGATGAACAACATCCTGGGGCCGCCAGTTTGGGAAATTTCTAACCCCTTCAGCAAAGATTCTCAAATATGTCTCCCCCCTAAGATAAAAATGCTGCTACTAAGGCCATTAAATTTTGTTATTTAATTTAAATGTTTATTATTTAGTGTTTTGAAGCTTTGTATTGGAACCCTACTAGGCCCTTTACCTTTATGAGCCACCCAGTTTTACCCCTGTCCTTTACCTCTGCTGTAACTTGTTTCTCTCCTTTGGAAGAGCTGTATCCTTCTTTCCTGGAATGGACATTATACCCACCCAGAGGGCAATTAACTGTTTTATAATTAGGTTTAAGTTAGACAAAATAAACAGGTAAGTTACTTAATTTCTTACCCTCTTTTTATGTTATCTTTTGGTATTTTCAAAAGAATAATCAAGAAGGTTAGGAAACAAGAGAGTGGGTGTCCCTGCTGAGCCCCAGCTTGAGAGGCAGATCTATCAGCCCTTGAAGTTACTGCAAAGATTTTCATTCACCTCTGTAGGAGTTGGGACAAGCCTCAAAATGAAAAGAACCAATTAGAACCATAGCACATCTAAATCACAAGTTTTAAGTAGCTTTTTCAGATTCTTTCTATGCTCAAGAACCTTAAAGTCTTGTGTAAAAACAAAACAAACAAAAAGATTTGTTTTCTATTATTGTGCAAAGCCTTGTCTCCTTTTAAGTTGTTTTGATATCTGAATTCATCAGAGAGCAGTTGAAAGAAGGAAGACCAGACTGCATCCAAAGGATGATGTTTTACTAATCCTGGGCAATTCTGGCAGGATGAAACCCCATTTTCATTGGCCCTTTTGTTAGCAGCTCTAGCGTTTCTCCTCATCATTATATGGAGAAAGCATCTCAGCATGAGATTTACATCAAAGAGACCATCTTAGGGCTTCACTCAGTACCTTATTTAGGAACAGAAAACCTGTTAGTAGTGAGCCTAAATAAGTCTGGTTATTTGCTTCTTGTGGCAAACAGATTTAAACAGGTACATCACATTATTTTTCCTGTGACATGTTCTTTTTATTTTCTGGTGTGCCTTAGCCACAAGTATGTCTGATTGAAGTTAAAAGCAAACTAGTTATGTTGAAGTATCACAGGGCCGACAGAGATTCAGAGAGATGATCTAGTGCTTTCCCTTGCTCAAGGCAGAGACAACTGTATCTATGTCATCAGGGCTCAGCAAAAAAACTTTTAATTTCTCCCGTTAAGCTCAACACGTCATCACAAATCCATTAAATGAAAAATTGCTAAATGTGGGTTCAGAAGTGACATTTTACCACGGGATTTACTCTGAAATATAAAAATTATCTAAATGTATTCCCAAAGCACACACTCAAATAAAAGTCAGGCTAAAGTGATTTAAAATTTAGGTGTCTTGCTGTCTCTACATAAATCTGTCAGCTAAAGATTTCCATGGCCACTCATCTAAATCAAGAAAAAAACCAGAGAATACCTGTTTCTGTTGAAGTTCATGGGAATTTTCCTGTTGACTTTGTTGAGCAGGGATTTAATGCAAGGTTGTTACTAAAGGAGAGGTGAAGAAGTGAGAAATCACCTCAAAAATATGAAGGCATTAGCCAAGGCAGTAACCTATAGTAAACTAAAGGCAGTAAACATTCCAAAATATGAACATATTATCCAAGGCTGTTGTAATTTCTGATAAGTAACAGAGGATTCCAGCTGTTTTCAGATCACAGCATTTCCTTAAAATCAGAGTTTTTACACAGCCATATATGTATGTGCCTGTTGGAGCTCAGTGCAGAGGACTTGATCAGATTTTGAATACTTTTGAATACTTTTTGCAATCCTTTGTTTCTATCAATCTATAGAAGTTTTTTGTGAGTGGCTTTTAAGGCGCAGGTCATGCTAATGAACTCTCTGATGGGAAGGCCATACAGCTAAAGAAGCAAAACAGTGTCACTAAAAGAAATGTGAGAATCAGTGTGCTGTATTTATACCTTAAATGAAAACTTAGTGCATCTCATAACTTGATGTTATTTTTTGAACATTTTTTGGTAGAAGTAGCACAGCAGAGAATTGTGGCATGTTCTTAATTGAACTCTAGACAGAGGCTTCCAGTGGTTATTCCATACAATAAATATCATCATCTTTCTCATTAAAGAATAACATATAAGTTTTATTATTACAAACGTATCTAAGCATTTTTAACTACAAATC